CCTGAAGGTTGCATGGAATCCTGTCTGTGTTTCCTGTCTGCTTTCAGGAAAGCCCAGTCAGGATAACCACACTGCTTCTTTGTTGACGAGTTCCCCTTTGATGTCACTTCCTGTTTCACTTTGGCTGAGCCAAGTTCAAAAGAAAATATGCCAGTTATGTGACAAAATGGTTTAAATTGTGTCTATTATTCCAACTTTCTTAACTATAAAAATGTTTTCTTTGACTTTTTGTATTTGAAGTCTCTTCATGTCACAGGCACTTTAAAACTCTTATTTACAGCTGATTATTGGTGTTTTCAGGCCGTGCTGTCTGAGGAGGAGCTGGTCGGAGTGGAGCAGGCGTCGGCCACAGCAGCTGAACTCACCGGCTCCATGATGAGGATCAAACTGGAGCTAGAGGAGAAGAAGCGCACAGTCAGCATGCTGCAGGCAGCTCTGGTGAGGAAGAAGGCCGCCGCCGCCGCCGTATGTTAGCTGCTGTAAGTGTTTGAGCTCCCAGCTTCAGCTGCGCTCCGTGTTTCKGCAGAGCCAGCAGAGGGCGCTGACGGCGAGACACGTGAAGGAGATGGAGAAGGAGCTGAGCAGAAACTTCCAGCTGCAGAAGGAGCAATACGAAGCCACCATCCAGAGACACCTGACTTTCATCGACCAGGTGAGAAAACGCTCAGGAAGAGCCTTTTTTCTTTTTTTTTTTTGAGCCTGACGTGTTTCGTCTCTCCGCAGCTCATCAATGACAAAAAGGCTCTGAGCGAGCGCTGCGAAGGAGTGGTGGCCGAGCTGAAGCAGGTGGACCAGAAGTACACGAAGAAAATCTCCCAGATGCAGCAGCAGCATGAAATGGTGAGAAGTTCCTCTGCACTCATCGGGTTTCTCTTGAAACCTCTGTGTCTCTGCTTTGCTTCTTCTCACTGGAACCTGCTTTAGTTTGAAAGTTTTGTTTTTCCTTCTCCTTGTTTTTCTTTGTTCTCGTCTTTATATCTCTGTTTTCTCACTTTTTAGGTGTGGCAAATTCTCGGCCCCTTGTGTGAGGTAACTTAACTTCTTCCTCTGACTCATCTTTGGCTCGGTCACCTTTCATTCTTCCATTTGTTCCTCATTTCCGTTTGTCCGTCCCACATCTCCTCTCTTGGACAGTTGGGCTGCATGTGAGCAACTTTTATTCAAATTCATCTCAACATTTCCATTCAAACTTACAGTTCTTTGTGTTGTTACCTTTTATTTTGTTAGTGTTAGCTGCAGCTTGTCTGTTTCGTTTCCAGCGCTCGCTGTTTATACATTAAATGTTTTAACAGCGTGTTTAATGAGGGTCTCAGTAAAGTCAGTTGTTCTGATCCGTTTCTCTGCAGGAGATCAAAAAGCTAAAGGACCTGATGAGCGCCTCGGAGAAGATCCGCAGAGAGAAGTGGATCGATGACAAAACCAAGAAGATTAAGGAAATCACAATCAAAGGTAGAGTAGACTGAGTGGTGATGGGTCCAGCAACACGACGCGTTGGTGCGTGTTTCGAGCACAACGATTAAAACCCTGCGTCAGCTCGTGTATCACTTTAAGAAAAGAGACGTGACCGATGCAGCTGCTGTCGTTCAGCAGCGCGGCGCTGAACTGTGTGTATCAGGAAGTGAAACGCATCTGCATTCATGCATCAGAACAGAGGAGAGGAGACTTTATGAGGCTCTATCAGCACAAATTCCAGTCATCAGGGTTTTGTTTTTGAATACTGAGACTGAGGAGGTTCTTAAAGAGACAGAGGCCAATTTCAAGGTGTTTAGAAACAGATATGATGAAAAGTCAAGTTTATTTTCTATTTAAACATAAAACAACATTTTAATAACAACTGAAGGTGATACAGTTACTTTATTATGGAATAGAATTTAAATATATGCCTGAGAAACACATAATATTGGCCCTTTTAATGTAATCGATTTATGTCCACATGTCGGGTTACTCGGCACTCATTCCGAAACCAAACAGTGGACTTGTCTTGTTGCTAGTTGTTTGTTTTCACACACACAGACACACAYGTCTTAAAGCCCATGAGACACACGGAGCAGAGTTCCTGGGAAACTCCTCCCACTTGCGGTATAATTGCTACAGCACCAGCTCCTTCCTGCTGGAGACTCCTACATCTGCCTTTATGCCACAAATCTGCCTCTGTTGGTGTGTCTCACTATAAAATATCTGTTCTGTCTCCATCCAGGTGTAGAAATAAATGCGTTGTTCAAAAGTGGTATGTCTGAATAAAACAGGAATCCACTGGATTTCTTCTCAAAACTTCTCAAAACTTTATTCTCAATCTTCTGACTCCAGTCAGGTTCACAGTACAGCACCCAGCTGGCCTCAGCGTAAGAMCTTGAGCTGAAACCAAAACAAAACAGAGCAGCTCTGCTCTGAGCAGAGACTCTGCAAYACTAACAACTTCTTTTTACTATAATAATGAATTGAGCTTATAATGTACATCTCTTCSTGGTTACACCCCTGGAGGTGATACCTTTTATGGCACATGTAGAACGTAACTCATTTTTGTTTAGGCTAAAAGGAAGAACACATGATGAGACACACRTCAACTCTCATTCTGTTTAAACTTAAAGGCTGAAATGATCAGAAAGTATAAAATACAAAACTGCATCTAACATTTAGTTAATCGGTTATAAAATTTTATTCATAGGAGTTTTTGATTGTTTCACTACCTTTAGTTTCTGGAAGAGAGTGAATGAAAGTTCAGACTCTCCATCCAGGCTGCGTGCAGTCGTTTCTAAAGTCCAGCAGGTGTCACCGCCAGCTGAAACGACACTGTCAGCGCTGATGCATCAAGCCAGCTAGAGGTTTATGCTGATTCTGTGTGACCTTTGACCTTCCAGCAGTTTGCAGCTTGACAAACCRAACACCTGAAAGTCTCCTCCTGATCGGCTTCTTTTATGTCTGAAACCGTGGATTAGGAAAAAGAGAGTGAAGAAAATTTCTGCTGATGTGTGTGAAACCTTTTGATTTGTTTGGCTCCTGTCAGATGTGCTGACTTCATGCAGAGTCACAGATTGTTTGTGCACTCACAGTCTCTTTTCTGCTGCTTTTGGTCCTGAAATAACACCACTTTACCCTAACTCGTGTCAAACTTCCAGGAATAAAACCTGAATCACCAGCGTTTTTTTTCCCCGTCAGATTAGGGTGTAAACATGGTGCCGCCCTGAGGAGCTGCAGAACATGAACTTCCATCTCTTCCTCTCCCAGGATTGGAGCCGGAGATCCAGAAGCTGATCTCTAAACACAAACAGGAGCTGAAGAAGCTGCGGACGCTGCACGAAGCTGAGCTGCTGCAGGCGGACGAGCGGGCGGCGCAGAGATACRTCCGCCAGAGCGAGGAGCTGCGGCTGCAGCTGGAGAGGGAGAAGGAGGAGGAGGGTCAGAAGGAGAGGGAGCTGGCCAAACAGAGGTGAGCGGAAAATCTTCTCCCGAGTTGCCTTTTTATTTTCAGCAGCTCGTCTCCTGACTCTGAGTCGTCGTGGTTTTTTTTTTTAGGTACGAGAAGCAGCTGCAGGAGGAGGAGCTGTCCCTGCAGCAGCAGAGGAGGCGGCTTTACAAGGAGGTGGCTGATGAGAAGGAGAGGCTGGCTGAGCTGGCTGCCAGGTGGGGTCAGAGGTCATCGAGGAGTCAACTAAAATTAGACAAATCTGTCGTCTACAGGGCTTTTATCTGATGAACAGAAGAAACGATTCTTTTAGATCCAAGTTATTACAGCTTCTGAGCAGAGGAGGTTTATTAAAACTCTTTTACAGCATGAACCTGTTCAGAACTGTTTAAATCAGGGGTTCTTAACCTTTTTGACCTCGGAGCCCAATTTGTTGAACATAACGTGGCACGAGGCCCAGTCAGACATTACCAATGTACGGATCAAAAT